GCGCATGTGCACGAACTCATTGGGGCCCGGGGTGGAGCTCCATGGGGGGGGGCACGAGACGTGTCAGGGGGTGGTGTGCCGAACTGGGCAGGAGGGGGGACGCGCGTGAACGCCCTCACTGGGGCCGAGCTCCACCTACGGCCCCAAGTCTCTCCGCCTCCTCCTTCCCCTCCTCCTCCTTCGTCCGCCTCCCCCCCTCCCCCAATTCTCGACAATTCATCGGTATGCAGACTCTACTCTCTCCAACTCTCTTCCGCTGATCGGAGTTCATTCGTTGTTTAGTATGTGACTGTTCAATCGGGCCGTCTTGTGTTTTATTTTTTTCCAAAATTGTGTTACCGCTGCAGTGTTGACATCACTTCAAGATTGGATACGTGCGTCTGTCGTTCACACTGGCGCTCTCGCCCGAACGCGGGCCACACGTCTGGATCAAAGCCGTTCATCGTCGTTGCCGCCCCGCTCCTTTCACCTCCTCCTTCTTCTACAAACCCCCCTGCTCCTCACTCTCCTCCTGCTCCTAGCGCTGCTCCCGTGTAAGATCTCATGTATGATGCGAACCCACGTATCTGGACACTTATTCAATATGAACAGAATCGTGCCCCATTTTCTCCTGCACACTGTGTGAGCATACAAGATTATAACGTATATGGTTTGAACATGCTTTTGAAACAATTGACGTTTCCGGTGCTTCGAAATTGTGTTCCCGCTGCAGCGCTGGCTTCTTTTAGGCTCGAGACGTTGCTGCAGTCGTTCTGCCTTGCTCCCGCTCAAGCGGATCCGAGTCCTTCGTCGCTGCTGTCGCCCCGGTCCTTCCCCCTCCTCTGCCTTCCACTGGTCCTCCTATTCCTCCCGCTCCTCCTGCTCTTGCTCCTGGTGCTGCTGCCCATCCAAGTCGTCCTCCCGGCCCATCCTCGGCCACTTCCTCTCCTCCCGCTCCTCCTCCTGCTTGCCCGCCGCCTCCTCCCCTGCTGCCCACGGCTCCCGTTCTCTCCTGACTGCGCGCACCGCGGTGTGACCCTACGGGAGGGCCCCAGGCCCCCAGCAACGCGCGTCGGCGGACAGAGAACACGCCTGAGGGGGCCCCGGGACGCACAAATAAATACACACGAACAAGAGGACTCCCCATATTTTCCCGTCTTTTCTGTGCTTTTGTCTTCCCCCCCCGCTTCCCATATTTTCCAACGTTTTCCTGGGGGTCGACGATGCATTGTGTCTGTGTGTTTTTTCCCTCCTGCACACCAGCGCGCGCGCGCGGCTCTCCTGGCCCGCCGCCGCCCCCGCCTGCGCACGGAGGCGGGCGGGGGGCTGGCCCTCCCTCCGGGCCTCGCTCCTCCCGTACAGGAGCGCACGGGAAGCGAATCGATGGGTCGGAGCGGCGGAGATCAGCCGATCCGAGCCGGGCAAAGTCGAACCGGCGGAAATCGGCAGGCCAGGATGCGTCCCGTGCGCCAAGATCGGGGCCCAGATCGGAATCCGAAAGCGAAGCGAATCGGAATCGGAGGACGGCGAAATCGAATCGGATCGAATCGGAATCGGAGTCGGACGACAGCGAAATCGAATCGGATCGAATCGGAGGAATCGAAACGAGCCCTGTCCCTGGCCGCCGCCCCCTGGGGCCTCCCGTCGCTCGATTGTCTCTGCCCTTTGCGTGTTTTTGTTCGAGTGCGGTTTTTTCCGTTCGCGCGAAGGCCCAAGCTGCTCCTCGAGGGTCCTCGCCCGGGAAACATGAGCACGCCCGAGCGATGCCGAGGTGAATGGCTTGGCCTCCTGGGTCGCCCTCCTGGCCACGGGGGGAAGCCGGCCCAGGTGCCAAGAAACTGTCGCGCGTGCTGGCCTGCGAACCATGGCCCTCATAGCGCCCTCAACCCCAGCGCACCCTCTGTTGCGTCAAAAAAAAAAAACCAAGTCTGCCACGCCCTGCGAGCCTGGGACGGACACGGCAGGGACCCACAGCGCACCCCCTTGTGGTGTGTAGAGATTGCCACGCCTGCCGTTCCTGTGAGCCTGGGGCGGATACGGCAGCCCTCCCCCAGCGCCCCCCCCCAGTGGTGTCGAGAAAGTGGCAGCATGCCTGCCACGCCCTGCGAGCCTGTGACGGATACGGCAGCCACCCCCAGCGCACTCCCTTTGTTGCCAGGTGTGTTGTCAGGTGGCATGTGTGCGTGATGTGTGTAAATCCATAATATTGGGTGTGCGCGTGTGTCTACTGTGTCCGTGCGGGTATGAAGTGCTGTACCCCTGTGCTGTCAGGCGTGCTGTCAGGTGGTGGCTGTGCGCGCTCTGCGTGTGTAGCATCTGTGTTGTGCGGCGTGCACGTGCGGGTCAAATGCGCTGTGCGCGTGCGTACGGCGTGTGTGTGCGTGTGTGTGTGTGTGTGTGTGCGGGTAAGAAGGAGAGGGTGGGTGAGGTGTGTGTGTGTATTTGCCCTGGCTTCGTCTCTGCCTCCCTCCCGGCATCCTGCTCTCTCCCCCTCTGCGCCTCTCTGCCGGCCTGCCGCGGC